ATTGCAACTAAAAATATTGTAACTGAATGCATATGTTTAGTGTCAAAAAAATAATATCGCTACTGAAAGTATGATATTGAAGTTATTTAGTGGCCATAAGTATTTGTGACAACTAAAAATATATAATTAGTTGTGAAAAATTTTGTTATCACCAAAGATATGCTAGTGATGAATTTAGTTAGTGACAATTTAAGTGTTTTAGCAAAAATATATTATTAATTCACCACTAATTCCAAATATTTAGAGTAAATATTAGTGATAACATTTTTTACTTGCATCAAATATGCCCTGATTTTATTCACATTTTACTTTTTGCCACTTTATGTCAATTTTAGAGAATAAGTTGCCATTGGTAAATACAAAATTAGCCAAAAAAAAAATAGAATTTCTGTTTTTCATATAACACGAACGGTGTGCCTTTCTTTTGCATATTTGCCCCAACTCATTTTTCGTATTTTAATTGAATCTAGTTTTAATCAACTCAAATTTTAATATGTAAAAAGATAAATTTTTATTTGCTCAAAATTTACTTAAATTTTATGTAAAAAAATTGTTTGGGGTTTATGTAAGGACATATTTTGGTATTTTAGATAAATTTTTTTTGTTAGAAAAGATGGTTTAATGAAGAGAGATGTCAGTGATTTTTTAAATATAACTAAAGGGATGTCAGTGGTATTTTAAATAATAGAAGAATGTCTCATTGAAGATATGTCTATCTATAAGGAGTGTGAATGATAATTATCCTTGATTTTTTCATGTAATATGTTTGACCTCACGATGGTTTCCTCTTTTCCGATTATTAATTTTATCAAATATGTTCATCATTCGTAACCTGTAGTTTCCCTAGCACTTCACACACTCTCTAATGCTTTGTTTGGTAAGAAAGATGGAAAGTAAGAAGGATAGAAAGTATGAGAGATATATTTTATATCCTTCAAGGATGAAAAGTAAAAATGATACACTTTCTTTCCTTTGTGTTTGGTTGGATGGATGAAAAATAAAAATGAACAAATTTTTTTTGTGCTAGCTAAGATTAAGGGTGACAATCGAATCATATCGTGTCAGATTTGTGTTGAGTCATAAAATTATGACTCTTTTATGTTTCTTGTTTACATGTCAGATCATTTTCAAGTTCGTGTTGAGTAATAATCAAGTTCGTGTTGTAAAATTCGTGTTTGATGAGCTTGAATTTTATTGGGCAAGCCCAATTTAAATAAATCGAGAAAGCCCAAAGAAACGCCCATTGTCGACCCATCGAAGACACTAAGAGGACAACACCAAAAGGCAATGCCCGAAGGAGGAGGAGGACAAGGGAGCCCTTGGGCGCCTCCTAAGCTGGCCCCTTGAGCGCCGCCCATGGCAGCCCCTTGGGCGTCGCCTAGGCTGGCCCCTTGGACGCCTCCTCTTCGCTCCTCCTCACCTTGGTTCTCCAGGTCTAGGTCCAACTAATATTCTCTTCCAGATGAATAGGAGCAACGACCGAAGAAGGAGGAGGACAAGGGAGCCCTTGGGCGCCGCCCATTGTAGCCCTTGAGTGCCCCTCCTCTTGGTCGTCCTCACCTTGGTACTCTAGGTTCAGGTCCAAGACAAGTCCAGGTCCAGGTCCAAGCCAAAGCCTACTCAAGACAAGTCTAAGTCCAGGTCTAACTAATGTTTTCCTCCGGATGAATAGGAGCACGAGTGAAGATAATATTGAGATAGATATAGAAGATCTTCTACCATAACAATACTTGTCAAAATAATGAAATTCTTCTCCCTCACGTCACCGCCTCCAAGCTACCTTACCCTAACTATATAATGTAAGCTCTCTAAACATTGAGGGCACGCCTCCAACGCCTCCGAACCTTACACTCATTGTTTTCTCTCTGTCTCCGTAAAAGCAATGTATTTCTCCGGAGTACTATCATTCATCAACATCAATAAAGAACACAGGCCGCCGCTACCATTCCCGAGAGTGGACGTAGGTCACCTGGACCGAACCACTATAAATCTTTGTGTTTGTTGCTTATTTACTGTTTTTATCCATCGATTGTCGTCGATTGCTCATTAATTGCTTATTAACACATACTTGACTGTTGATCTTGTACGAAGACAATTTTGTGCATCATCAGTGTTGATTCAAAAAAATTTACCCTTAGTTAAGTTGAAAAAAATATTTTTTTTAATTTAAAATTTTAATTTTAATTTTTTTTTTATTTTAAAATTTTAATTTCTTTCCGATTTTGGAAGGATTGATTTTGGTAAGTTAGAAGGAAAGTTAATCCATCAACTTTGTCATCCATTTTATTTTCATTCTTTATTAAATATAATATTTTATTTATCTCTCAAATTTTTCATCTTTCTATTTTTTTCATCTTATAAAATGGAACATTCATGTATTGCATGGGCCCAATAATATTCTATATAAACGCACAAGTCGGTCCTTCTGGACCACCACCTTCGCTTCCAGCACATTTATTAGTTTAGGCCATCTCTGAAGGGTTTTCAAACCTTGGATTGTGGTGTGATTGTTGGCTTCAGTTATCTATGCTCCACAAGAAAATATTTAATGTAATAGTAAGAATATGTCATCACCGTCTCGTGATATCATTTTTTAATAATAAACTTACAAATAAACAAAATGATCTCCACGTGATTTAGAAACTGCTATACCCTTTAAGGTAATAATTACTCGTGTAAAATGGTTCATCTTATCAACTTGTAAGTTTATTATTATACGATAAAAGTCATAAGACCATATAACAGTGATAGCGTGATGTAATTGGGATAATGAATATTTGCTCATACTTAACCAATGGTTGATTATCAAAAATTTTTTTTCAAATAAGTGTAAGCATATAAATTGAGTGTACTAGTGGACACGTATCAAAGACACAAGACTACTTACAACAACTTGGTACAATAAATTCCAAAAAAGAAAAAGGCCAAAAAAACATTTGACTTTAGTCTCAGCATGACCAGTTCTCACGTTGAAAAATGCTCATAGTAGAAGCATTATGGGATCCTCTTATATTTTATATGACTTTAGCAAGATATTATGAATGTTACTTGTCAAACCACAAAAATATGTGAACGTCGTTTCCTATAATACTCCTTTATTTGTGTTTAATTTGGAGATTTAATAAATTTAAATTAATCATTAAATCATGGAACAACCTAGGAGTTGGAGAAAGATGGTGTTCGGGCGGCAGAGTGAGGTGTATGGATTGGATGGAGTTCAGATGTAAATATGTTATGGTAATCCCTTGTCATGTTGTTTTGCCTACAACTCGGTTGTGGACCCACACCGGTCCACGTCCAAGGATACGTGTTCAATTCCACACGGACTACATGTAGGAAAGAAACGTACACGTTATTAGTTCTCACAAGAATAGACCAATGACATCAGGTAAGGAGGGGCCTATGTTTGGGCATTAGCCCCTCATGGGTGTCAAAAGACTTACCGGAGAATAAATAGTACTAAAACCTTAAATCAATTAAGAAATTAGAATTTTAATTAAATTAAAAAAATAAAAATCTTGATTAAATTAAAAAATAAAATAACATAAATTTTTACTTAAATTAAAAAATAAAATAAAATAAAATTCTCTAAAATTTCATAAAAAAATAATATTGACCACATTTAATAAAATATCAAAAATCTAAACTAGCCACACATATTGCATCATAAAGTTTTGTAACTTTTTTTAATAGCCATTACTTTTCCCCAACTACTGATGCTATCGTGACAGAAACCATCAAACGACATGGGAAAGGGAGGAAGGCATGAGGAGTGAATACCATCACCTTGGATAAATGTCTTTTATGATGGAAGTATTGCAATTTTGCACTTAGCAAAATTTGTAGGGACGTTATTTGGAGATCTTATTTAAGAATTTAATGATATAATTTTAATGTAACCATTGAATTAGTTATGAGTTTTGATGTTAGATAAAGCTAACAAATAATCCAATAAATATAAATCATTAGGTCTCTAAATACGAACTCTATCCAATACAAAACTCAAAAATAACACAATTAATTGACACGAGTAATAAATTAGTCAAATTAAAGTTCGACACGAATAACACGATTAATGAATATTTTAGAAAGAAAATAAGTATTTAATGAGTATTATAGACAGACAATAAAAATTTTATAATTTTTTAAATAGTAATATATGAATTGTTATTGAAATAAATAATTTTTTATAAACATAAATATTAACAGAATTCGGTATGTACCAAAAGTGACACGACACGACAAGACAAAACAATAACACGACACGAAAACGAATCGATACAATTCTTATTAACAGCCCCTCAATAAAATTCTAACAAATTGAGAAACCATGTAATAATGATGGAGGACCACTCCATATGTGAGTATAAATACAAGAGGCATTTCCTCAGTTAATTGTAATCTCTGCAATTATAACTCTACCTTCTTTCTCAAGCAATAAAAAAATTTCAAAGAGTAAAAAACTTCATTAGAATGAATTAGCCAAATTTTTTAGTTTGTGAATCACTATAATCTGTGAGTTTGTGTATTATGTACATATTTTTAATTTATTTTTATGTAATATTAGAAGTTATTATTAAGAAGTTATTTTAGTAAGTGAGTTGTATTTAAAGGTTTTTTGATCAATAGAAAAAATATGTTGAATATTATATTGAATTTTCTTGTGAAAGTTTTGAAGATAAGATACTTCTCAAATTGAATCATTAGAGGCTTTTATCCCCCCCCCCCACCCCCCCTAGAAGTTCGTTTTTTCCCCTATTCTTTTTTTATTTTGTTTTACAAATCTCTCAAAAAAATGTGCACGTAATAATTCGTATCAGAGCTAGGAACGGAGGATTGAGTTGATCATCTTGAAGTGAAAGTTCACTCCTTAATTGTCAGACAAGGGAGGATAATGAAAAAGATGCATAAATTATTTCACACTATGAATTCTCGCTTTAATCAATTAATGACCGATCGAGGACGCTGCCATGAGCCAGGCGAAGGGTGGACCCATGACAATGAAAGAGGTAAAAATAATGGTCACGCATCTTTTGTTTCAAGCGGATTAAGCTCGATAACCTCCAATTTCGAATTTGGATATTCCTCGATACAATGACAAACAAGAATCCACCATTTTGGTTCAACCAACCAAACAATTCTCTGATATGCAACAAACTGCCTTTGATTTTAAGGCCCAATCAAATGTTTGCCATCAGCCATGTAAGTTACTCAAGGAACACAATGAGGTGCTTACAGGGATCTTTGACAACAAGTAGCAAGTGGGATCGGTTGAACGCTGTCATACACGTCTTGCAAGTTTACTTGAACCGTGCAATAATTTACCAAGGCAACAACAGGTGGGATATCGGAGGATTCACTGGTCATAGGGCTGAGGTATGTTACCCTGTACAGGAGGCCGGCTTAGGGGTGCGTTCTTTTTCTAACGTAGTCGAGGCCGGTGAGGTGAAGCTTTGATGGAATTTTTGTGTTCAACAATCACTTTGATCCACTTTCATGGGGGTCAAGTACTGTAAGTCCATCCATCCTGGACATATTGAGTTTCGTTATCTAGCTTCACCTTTTTGGAGGCGATTGTGTGAGATTCAATCTGTGGCTGAGCTAATAATCAGATGGTTAGTACGGTCCGATGAGGTCAGTTTCTGGTATGATTGTTGGATGGGGGATTACTCGTTGACTTTAGTGTGTACGGGACAGCTCTTGGGGTTTCTGTTTCTGCTTATTGGGCGGGTCAGCAATGGGACAAAAGCCGATTGTTGGGGGTTTTGCCTTCTTCAGTTGTTAAGCAGATTGTGCAGATTTCGATTTTGGATCAGGGGGTTAATCAAATGAGGTGGAGTTTGTCTTTGGATGTAAATTTTTTCCTTAAGGACTGCTTGGGCTGATATACGGAATGTGGCTCCAGTTTGGGCAGGGTTTTCTTGTGTCTGACAGAGGCATATTCCGACTCAAGTCTCCTTCTTTATGTGGCAGTTGTTTCATGGTTTCCTGGCCACAGATGATGGTTTAGAGAGACGGGGTTTCTATGTAGTATCCCGGTGTGTGTGTGGTGGGACTGTTGAGACTTTTAGGCACCTTTTTTTTGGATTCTCCACTTACAATTCAGGTGTGGGGTCAATTTTATCGGATGTTTGGGATAAGATCTTGGCCGTTTCAGTCTCCTTATGCTTTAATGCTTCACTAGAGGCGTTGTACTCCTTCTGCAGGTCACGTGTGGATACTGCTACCGTGCTTTATTCTGTGGTACCTATGGAAGGGGCGTAATGCTTATAGGTTCGATGACCGGGTTTTTTAGGTGCCCGTTGTGGTTTAGAGGGTTCTGGTCGATATGCAGTTGATTGGGCTTGTTTTTGGGTTTGCTCCGAGTCAGTTGCGTCGGGATGAGTCGGTTGAATTTTTGAGTTTTCTTAGGGTCTTGGCTCCTCGGCTTCAGCCTCTCTGCTTGGTTGCTTGGACTCGTCCTATACCAAGTTGCCTGAAGATTAGTGTTGACGGTTGTTCTAAAGGCAATCTGGAGCTGTCTGCGGTAGGGGGTGTTATTCGAGACCACTAGAGTTGGGTTCTCAGGGCTTTTGGCTTGTTTCTGGAGCATCAACTTATTCTATATGCGGAGATGCAGGCTATTTGTGCTGGGTTGGAGTTGGCTGCAGATTTGGGAGGTTTAGAGTTGATAGTGGAGTCAGATTCAACTACAGTGGTTTCTTGGGTTTATTTTCAGGGTACTGGGTGCTGGGTTTTTGCTTACCTGTTTGCTTTCATTCGGCTTCTGTGTGCTTCTCTTTCGGCTCACGTTTGCCACATCCTGTGGGAGGCGAATCAGGTTGCTGACTTCATGGTTAATTGGGTCTGTTCTCAGCAGCTCAATCAACGATTTCTTGATTCATAATCCATTCCTTTTGGAATTGCTGGCATCCTCACCTTGGATGCTCGACAGACTCCTCACGTTCTTCGGTGAATTTTTTATTTTCATTTATGTTTTCAGTTAGTTCTATGGGAGAGTCCCCACATTGTTTTCATGTTTTTAGTGGTAAGTCACCACTGTACTTTTGTTTTGATTCTCCTACTTTGTACTTCTGGAGGTTATCCTCCTCCCTAGTATTTTTTTCCTTATAGTTATAGATACAAGCAGGGGTCCTGTCAAACTCCTCCCCCACCCACACTGGGTGGCTTTGGAGGAAAAAAAAAAGAGTCGACATTCGTGCAGCCCTCGCAGGCCCAAACACCTTATCTGCTATCGTGGGTCTCTCCAAGCTATGTGAAGCTGAAGATTACATTGATCGTTACGATGAAAGGGAAGTAAGTTGGCCGCCTCTTTTCGTATATTGTAAATCAAATTTTGAGGACGTAGTTTGTTTTAAAGGGGGAATGAAATGTTATGTACACATTTTTAATATATTTTTATGTAACATTAGAAATAATTATTAAGAAGTTATTTTAGTAAGTGAGTTAGTGATAGAGTATTTTATGAATACTTTTATAGGTGGTTACTAACATAGTGGAGTCATGAGTTATGTTAGTTATTAAGGTATTTTGTATTATCTTGCATTTAAAGATCTTCCTATCAATGGAAAAGATATGTTGAATATTATGTTGAACGTTCTTGTGAAAGTATTGGAGATTATATTCTTCTCAAATTGAACCGTTGGATGTTTTCACCCCCCTCAAAGTGAGTTTTTTTTCCCAATTCTATTTTTATTTTGTTTTACGTATCTCTCGAAAAAGTGTGCACGTAACATTGTGCTTGTTTTGCTGCTCTTACCTTTATCCTATGTTTACAGTAGCATCTCACAGAACCATCAGGTTCAACCTTAAATCAATTTCTTCTACACTGTTCATTTGCACACTACTACTCCCAAGCTCTGAGCTCTTTAGTTCAAGCACCCATTTAATGTTTCGAGTTCATACATCATCATTAATAATTCAGAATCTGTAGTTTTCCTAGCACTTCACATACTCTCTAAGTGATGTTGGATAGATTACATAGATGAGAAATTACAAACTCCTTGTATTGTATTGTATGGGGCGATCACTAATAATATTCTATATAAATCCACATGCCAGACCTTCTGGACCACTACCTCCGCTTCAAGTACCTTTATCAGTTTAGGCCATCTTCAGAGGGTTTTCAAATCTTGGATTGTGGTGTAGATGTTGGCTTCAGTTTATGGGCTAACCTCTATGCTCCGCAAGAAAATATTCAATGCAGTAGGAATGTCAAGTCATTATTGTCACGTGATGTCAACGTCTAGCAATAAACTTATAAATAATCACATGATATGGGAATTACCATACCCATTAAGATAATAATTACATGTGTAAAAAGGTTCAACTTATTAACTTATAAATTTATTATTGTACCATAAGATCATGTAGCGATGATAACGTGATATTACAAGGATAACATGATTACAATGGTTGATTATCCAAAATTCTTTTCCAAATAAGAGTCAACATCTAAGTTGAGTGTACTAGTTGGACATGTATAAAAAAGACAAGACTACTTACAACAACTTAGGTGCAATAAATTCAAAAAAGAAAAAGGCCAAAAAAACATTCGACTTTAGTCTCAGCATGGCCCGTTCTCACGTTGAATAATGCTCCTAGTAGAGGCATTATGGGATCCTCTTATATTTTATATGACTTTAGCAAGACATTATGAATTCCACATAGACTGCGCACCATGCGATCAATGTTGGAGGCTATGACTTTTGTAATCAACCAAGAATGGCTTGTGATTGTTTTTCCTACAACTCGATTGTGGACCCACACCTGTCCACGTCCGAGGATATGTGTTCAACTCCACATAGACTACGCACTATGAAAATTTAGATTTTATATATGTGGGTAAGAAACGTACACGTTATTAGTTCTCACAACATCAGGTAAGGGGGCCGTGTTTGGGCAAAATGAGCATTAGTAGGGGTGACAAATGTGTCAGATTAAATGGTTATGAGTGGAGTTAAATGGGTGACGGATGAAAAATATATAAATTCATAAACGGCATGATTAATAAATGGATAAAAAATCTCAACATGAATACGATCCGTTTAATAAACGGGTAACACGACACAACTCGTTTAACCCGTTTAATTTTAAAAAAATTATATCAACAAATTTTAATACTCAATTTTTTTTTTACTACCAATTGCACTTACCTCAAAGAAGAGAAATTTGTAGCCAAATCTCATAAAAATAAGACTTTAAGGCTTAAAATAAAAAGAAAAAAGGTCATTGTCTTTTATAAACAACTTAGTCCTCTCCATCTGCCATCATTTTTTGTTATGAACAAAAACCACAAGTAAAATAATTACGCAACGAAATAAAAAAATAGAATACACAAATTTACGTAGATCGGCTCAACAAGTAAGCCTACGTCCACGAACGAAACACAACAGCAAGATTTCACTATTAAAGAATTGGAGATTACAACGGTCTCAAAACAAATCAACGAGAGAACTAAATATCTGCTCTATTCCAATGGTACAATATTTATTGGATTTAACAAAATAGAGCAATACCAATTTATCACACACAAAGAGAACTCTTGTACCGTCGCCGATAACCAACCCACAACTTACCGGAGAAGACGTCCTTTTTGTCAAGCTTCTAGACTAAGGAATTTGATTCCTTCATAATGTCTTCATGGTGCACTACAAGAATTTAGGGTTTTTGTGTCACCTTTTTTTGCAACGGAATATTTACGGTGACAAAAATATTTTTTTTGCAACGGTTATTGATACTGATGTTTAAAATGGTATATTTGCATTAGGAAATCGTAGCCGTAGCAAAAAGTAATTTTTTTTAAAAAAAAAAATTTCTCATTTCGCATTAGTTTTTTTCCTGTTGTAAATGCTTAAACCGTTAAATCGTTCAAGTTGGACGAGCTGAACCAAACCAGACGGTTCAATTTATTTACTATAAATTCCAGAATTTTGGCCCTTTATGTTTGCCCTAAATCTAATCGTTTCCTTCCCAGTCTCTTCCCTCTTTGAGTCTTTGTCGATGGTGAACGTGAGGCTCCCTCTCTCTCTGAGTCTCTGCTACTTTGTGAATTATCTTAGTTCGAAGTGGATTTTCTTCCATCCATCAAACTTCCATCGGCTCGAATCGTCCACGAATACCCAGCAGGCCAGCATCAGGTATACTTTCTTGCTCTGTTTCTCGTGCTCAGTCGTTCTCTCTCCCTCTCTCTTTCTCGCTCTCGTTCAGTAGGAGGTATATTTCAGTCGTTCTCTTCATTGATTGTGAATCTTTTACTGATTTTGTGTTTGGTTTTATAAAATCTGATTTTAGGTTTGTATTTTATACATTGAATGATTGAATGAGGCCACTGATTTTATATACATTGATTGTGATGGTTTGTATTTTATACATTGAATGAATTATTGAAGATTTTTATTTTATACATTTAACACACAATAGGGAAGATTTGTCTTTTATGCAGGCTTGTACATATG